AGGAGGGGTTTGGAAAAGGGGTGCCAGGCCGAAAACGGGATGCAGCCGAAACAGCAAAAGATAGACCAGGGATCGAGCCCTGGCGAAGTCCGTAACAAAGGCGCCTCGCAGCACACAGACAGCAGGGTCTAATGTTGACTCATCTAGTCTTTCCAGTCTGCCTAGCTCCTGAGCTCTACTCTCTAGTCTAGCCTTTCTTTGCATAGCTTTCCTTCTCCTCTCTACCACATCGTCCATCTGCCGCTGTAACTCATCCTGAAGTTCTTCTGCCTGTCGGATTTCTAAGTCCTCCGGCGTGAGTGGAGACTAGCTGACTCGCACATGACCAATTTGACTAATGGGAACCTGAGAACCACTCTGACTGACTCCTGAAAAAGTGGGCTGTGTAGAGGGTTGCGTCATAGATGAGGTAGCCATGGTCGTACTGATGCTAGCTGAAACTCTATCCCTAGCACTGTCCTCAGCTGCCCTCGCTCTCCTTGCCACTGCCCTCTCTCTAGCCTCTCTCCTCAATCCTCTCTCTTCTCCTGGAGCTAACTCCAAGAATGTCAAGGGTCGACTGCGGGCAGTCCCGCGAGTAGTCCTACGGTCGTCCACTAGTAACTCCTCACTTGTGCTTGCATCACTCATGAGCTACAGTGTGTGTGATCTAAACTAGAATCCACACTGAATCCTACCTTAGCTTGACACACAACCAATTATGAACCACAACTATTTTCGGTCGGTTGGAACAGAAATAGTTAGGTGATATTGTAACAACAAATGTCAGGTCCTACAAGATATATTAAATCTATTTTTGGATTACCCTAGAACAGATTGCAATACAGCAAAGATCTAATCTATTTGTAGCTGTCTGTCAGTTGTTAGCAAGTCTGTAACAACTAGATAATCAAAATAAAAATAACATCTCCTGTTGGAGATGTATACTGGATGGCAGATTGATAGTTGATTGCCTCTGTGAACAGTTACCGGAATCCCCCCTCCCCCTGTATCCTTCTTGATTGGTCACTTTGTGTCAACGTTCTTGAGCATCTGGTTGAGCAGCGTGTCTGAAGGTGTGCAATCCGGCCCACCCCTGTGGCCCAAGTCTTTGCCGAACATGCCAGCCAGTCCACTCTTATTTACCCTCGTACGGAAACGAGCCTTACACCCGGTTGATCTGGCTGATCAGGAGGAATATTAAGAGCGCCCCCATCTCTTCAGGAATTATTTAACGTCGCAGTCAGGACGACGATCACAGCCAGATTCAGATCCGAGTCCCCAACCAGAAATGTTTATAGACGGTCTGGTAAGTGTCTCCTAAAAGGCTGGCATGCCCAGGTAGACCTCTATTGCGCAAGCAGCAGAACCAAGGACTTGCGCCCAAGCATGCGTGTACTAGTCCCAGCGGGTTGGCATGGTGACCGTGACCCGAGTGCTTCGTCCAGGGCCCTTCAGAGGCTATGCATGTCTCCCACCAGCTTGCTGCCCAGGAAGAATGTCGACTCTCAAGGTTGAGCGCTCGCGACACTTCACATCAAGAGGACTCTCAAGACAGAACTCACTTCCTCACGGTAAGAAGAGATGAAGAGGGTAGATAAGGAAGAGAGCAACGTACCTCATTAATGCTGCCCCCAACCACAGATTTCTCACCGGTAACCTGATGTGCAATTATGATGACCGGTCTTTGCTTCGGCACAACCAACAGCAGAATGCGGTTCCACCTCAGCTTAATATGTCACATCAGCGAGCTCTCATCATCCAGCATACATCCCGTATGTCACCACATAGCTCCCCGGCGCGCCCACAATACCCTGGACCGCCTAACATTCAACGCCAATGCCTTATCATTGCCCCACACCTCATGCGAAGCACCAATAGCTATTGCGAAGAATCAATGAAGCAATATGAACCAGCTCCGATACCAAACTGCAAGGAAAATAAGCAACAGCGAGATGACAATCCCAGATCACACCATCACACTGCAATCCAAATAGTCACACCGTGTCCGGATAGCAGCATTGCACCAATAATACACCAATGGAGTTTCGTAGCACTGAAAACCAATGTTCATGGAGGTCATACCCTCTCCTCTCAACACCAGAGTCCAGTTCCCTTACACTCACACTTGGCGCTCAGCGCCCAGCCTACTCCTACACAGCTACTACAGGCTACAAAAAGACAATGCAACTGTTGACATCAGCAGCTGTCTCTTATACACATCTAGATGTGTATAAGAGACAGCCCTCACATCATCATCATCATCATCATCATCCTTCACCTATCCCCTGACTTCTCCCACACCTGTCCTCTCTGTCACCCGAAGACCACCCCTGCGCTTCACTGTAGTCCAAGCCCACCAGCTATGGTGGCTGGGCTATGGTGCTGCCCTCGGCAGCGCCCTCCTCCTCCTCTGCACGACCGCACGTGCTGCACCTCGCCTCTCCTCGCTAGCAGCAGCCTACGAGCATAAGCTCCTGCCGCCCAGCATGCGAGTGCCTGAATGAGGCTGCCTGGCCAGAGCTCTCTCCTTTGTGGAAAAGAGCTGGCCAGCTCTCGCAGCCTGGCTGGGCTGGCCTGGGCCCAGAAGCTTCCGGAAGGCCCCAGGATGCTGTCTGGATGCAGCAGCTACTGGGCTGCTGGGCCTCATTCGGTTGGGCGCCCAACTGTCTCTGTATGAGGCTGCGAATCACGCCCAGGGCCTGCATTCTTTGGAAAGGCCCGGTAGGCCGTGGAAATGTCTTTGGTACTCGGCCTGTGTTGCTTTCAACCAACTGGCGCGTCGCAACTGCCTGGACCCCAAATATGAAATTGACAGTCGAGGGCCTCTTGCAAAAAGCCAGGCCCGCCTTCACTTAGGGTGGGTATGGCTGCAGACAGGGCCCCGTAGGCCTACTGAGGACACTGATCCTCGCAGTCGGGTCTACTGGGTGAAACCATTTCAATACGCTATCCTCCCTACTTGTCCTAATGGTCTCCTTTAAGTATTCTCCTTCCCAGTCTGAAAATTCTTTCTTTTTTCTTCATTTCACTATCCTCTATCCTCCCTACTTGTCCTAATGGTCTCCTTCTAAGTATTCTCCTTCATCTGAGCTGTGTTCTCGGTCACTTTGCTCTTCACTGCTCTAGTTGTGGAGCTTTTGCGTTCTTCCTCTTATTATTGCAATTTTATTGTCTAGACTCTAGTTACTTTTTTTTTTTTTCTTCCAAAAAGGGCGACAGCGTTGAGATAGCATCGGTGAACTGACTGTGCGAACTTTGGGTCTGTAATTCAAAGGTTCGTGGGTGTACCAACTGAGCTAGGCTAGTTGGTATTTTGTCTAGCTACTCTAGTAGCCAATGTTCCTCTAAAGATTTTTATGTCTTCGTGCTTTTTTGGGTTGATAGCCTTTTCCGTCTCGGTTAGTTTTCTGTTTCTATGATTTCTCTGACCTCTTTCCACGACTCTTCCATGGATGTTTTATGCTTGCCTAATGTTTTCTTGCATCTTGATCTCCATATTACCCACAGTGCTGCTCTTCGTATGAAATCTGCTATCGTCTGCTTTTCCGTTGCTAGATCCCTGTCCCTATCCCTTGCTGAGAGAACGTCATCGGGTTGTGAGGGAAGTTGAGTCATGGTCTCAGGGAGATGTTTGACGAGGCCTTCTTGACCTATTTCCAGATTCTAACTCCATGGGGGCATCTATTCATCCTCGAGTACAAGGCCCCAGCCTTGTGGAAAATCTTTCATCACCTACAAAAATTTCAGAGGCTCGGGAATACCAGACCACAATGGCTGATGCCGCCAGCCAAAAAAGAAAAGAAGTGCGCCGCTGGGGGCTCGGCAAAGCTTGGCGTGTAGTGGAAGGCCGCCGCGCCCGGGTGTACTGGTGATTTAAGCAATGGGTTAGTGATTCAGTCATGTTATCTGTGCACATTTTACAAAGTGGTGATTGTTCTTTCCTTTGATCTTTCAATCTCTATTCCTGCCTGTATCTAGCCATTAATTTACTAGGAGGACCCAGCATAGAGGATTAGTCACTGCAAGCTTCTGATTCCAGTAGGTTTGGTATTGCTGCAAAATTCCTCATTAGAGCAAACGACACCTCCTTTCAAGCTCTACCAAGAGGGAAGTTTAAACTTTAAATACATCTGTATTCGTAGATACAGAACGGATTCTGTCCAAGTACAGTCGTGAGGCTTTCTCTGCCTCATGCACTTTTTGTTTTCTCTTTTCAGGAGACTGAAGTTTGAGACAACTGGGTTTATTAATGTGTTGTGCCTGTTCGCTATTTCTTCTTTACGCAGGGAGATCGAAAGAGCACTATTTTGGCTCGAGCTACGAGGCTGGAGAAGGAAGCTGAGGTTCTTCTTCAGGCTGAGGATTGCAACAATTACGCATCAGGTCCAAAAACTGCCAGAGGTGCAGCGCATGCAAAGGGAAGCACTTCAGTCAGTGTTTTTACCGAAGCAGCGAATTGGTATAAGGAGCTGCAAAATTGGAAGTGTGCAGCTGAATGCTTACGGCAGGCAAAGAAGTTTAAAGAAGCGGGAAAGGTACTATTACTTAGCATGTAACCTGTTGCGTCATATCCTAACAATAGTCTCCCTTCTTCATCCAACCTTGTTCTATTTGCAACTTTGCACTCATTTTCACTGAAGGCAGTGAAGATGAGAAATGCTTTGTACGTATTCCTTGTTTCCCCTCTCCGTGTCAGAGACGCTGGTATGAACTGCATCCCGCCTCCTCTTTCACTTTCAAACTTCAAAGTTTATTCTACAACAGGGCGTCATGGTCCCACCCGCTTTTTCTATCGGCCTCGCCGCGCCACTCGCCGCTCACCAACATTCCAAACACATCTGAACCTTGTAGTGGTCCTGATCCATTCAAAATGTTGCCGTTTGGTGAGCGGTGTGGCGAGCCCCTATTCGGGAAGCACCAGTCCAGTTCCTTTTCCCCTGGGAAGTAATATGTACAGTACAACAAACTCAGGGGCAGGCTTTTGTTATGGTAGAAGGAATCTCTGAGCAGCATTGATTGCTCCTTTTGACGGAGGATTAACTCTTTCTTGGGTGAGCCTGATCGCCGTGCCGGGTCCATATTTTTTCCATATTGCACGGGCTGCTATACGATTTTGCAAGCTCGGATCTTCTTTTTTTTTGTTTTTTTTCACGGATCAGATATTAAACTGATCAGAACAGATACTACCCTTAATCTTACTTGGCCAAAAGGCCTCGGATCTTTTGTACCCTAATGCGAAGAATCTGCTCTGAATTTCTTTCTGTGCCCTAGAGATGGCTTCTTCCAGCAGAGGAGCGGCTTGTCAAGCTGTGGGCGTTCTGGCATTATAGTGTTCACTGCTGGAGTTTCTTGTTGGCCCTCCTTTGTCGCACCCGCTTGTCTCAGGTCACTTCTCGGCGAACTGTCAAATATGCTTCATGAGTCGGTATGATGATAGAGCTTTGTGTGCGTAACTCTGATCAAGATCAGATCGTGCACAGCCTGACTCTCTTCCCTGCCTCTTAAATCGGATATGAATGAGACACCGACTAGTCCCGTTGGTATTGGAGTCTCTTCTTGGGTGTTTCCATCCCCCTTTTTACAGTTTAGAAAAACAGGTCCTCAAGGCCCTAGCTCCAGTCTAGTCTTCTTTTAGGAGGATCAGTTCGGTTCCCTTCCACCAGCAACTTGTGCGTGATAGCCGATTCCTCACGTTAAACGATCAGTACCTTGCCCAGGCGAAAGTTTTTTTTTTTTTTTTTTTTTTTTTTTTTCAAAARAAAAGTCCAGGGTGTTTTAGAGGCCAAGGACCAGACCCGCGGTGATTGCTGGCAGCAGCAGCCAATGATTGTCCTGACAGGATAGGCCACCTACGCTACCCATCCCCACGGTAATACTCCCAGCGCACCCCCTGTCCCTACTATCCTACCTCAGTGTGACCAGCACTCAGGACCATCACCCTACCAGTATCGAGGGCAACTTGGACTTGAGAATAGAAATTGAGCCAATCCACAATTGTTGGGGGCTCGGGGCTACCGGACGAAAAATGGCTGGGAGTGCCAGCCAAAAGGGGAAAAGAACTACATGCTGGCGTTTCGGCAAAGCCTGGTGCGCAGGTGGTATGTGCCTCGGCGAAAAGAGGCTCACAGGTACTGGTGGATTAAGGCCGAAGGAACCCCTGATCAGAATTCATTGCTTATTCAGAGAAGAGTTAACAATTAGGATGACCGTGTTTCCTTCTTGAGTTCTTCTAAGTCCATACGTATTCAGACTGCCAGATCTGTATGAAGCACAAGGATTTCTGAAGACAATAGCTTGTCTCCCTCTACATAAACAATATGACTTATCTCATCCGCAACAGTGGTAACATCCCTACACCCCCTCTTCAGCGGTTGCGTCCAGATGACATTTGAATTTTGGAAAAATTTTGGATATGCCCTGAAAGTTCCATTGGCGTGCCCCTCTGATGGCTAACTTACCCTGTCTCACCCCTCTGACAAGGATAGCTCGTGAAGGTAATGAAATTACTCGAGAGGCTACCAAGTGGAGTCCTGAATTAGCTGCTGCTTGTGAAGTTTGGAAAGAGATTAAATTTGAATTTGAGACTATTGATAAATTTCTTTGAATTTCAATGAGTTGAATAAGAGAGATCAAACTGATCTCTCTTATTCATTCATAATAACTCTAAATAAGTTTTATGAAAAAACACTGGCATTGTTTGGGCCTGAAATATGTTCAATATGCCCCTACCGATACCCGTTCCAAATTCCCAGTATGCCCCGATAGCTCCCTTGCCAGGGCCAGGGGAATGGTCGCTAGTGCCACGGATGGCCGCAGGGGCATGCTGGAAAGTTGCACCCCTCACTGACAGGGGCCTGCAGGAAAGTTCAGAGGCCCCAGGGGCATGACAGGGTAAGTCCGCCCTGCGGAGGGGCACGCCGCACTTTCAGGGGCATATCAAAAAAATTCAAGTTGTTGGCTGTTGAAGGTATATTCCAAACTTTGGAATTATGTGCGTCTTTCCACTGAAGGTGGATGTCATGGATTGTTCTCATCTTCTCATTAGCCAACCAGATACACCGGACGTCGACCTTGACTTGTCGCTGCTCATCCAACCTTGTCTGCAACAACAAGGACCTCGTCCGGCCCCATCTGCACCTGATTTCAGTCTCTATTAGGTCTTGGGTTTAAGCCCAGACTTTTTCTTTTGGATTCCTAGTTACATCCATCGTAGTGCTGCATCTCTCCTTACAAATCACGTACTGTCACTTTCCTGATAATGCCATACCAAAACTTTCGGGATTCATAGAACGTGAGGGAATTTTAGTCCAAAGGAGCTGCAAGGGGTGCTTGGGAAAGGAGGATGGGAAGAGGCACAACCACATATAAACAGAAAATAAATATACATATAAAAATATTATAAAATTATATAAATGCTATAAACGAATATGTTGCATTCACCCTACAACATATTCATTTATATGTATACAAGTCGCTTGCTCTGGACCATAACTCTGTTGCCTCACTACATTTAGCTTGGCAGTAAAAGGTGTTCACTGGTTCTTGATTAGTGCATGTTACGCATAGGTCTGAAGAACTATTTGGATGCAGACCATACTTGTGGCGCACCTGGCCTGTGCGCAGCGCGGTACGTTGCGCAGTGCGTGATGCACGGATCCGAGGTGCACGCGCGCTGCCGCGCACCCGGGTGCACAACATGTGATGGGGGTCGCGCTGGGCTGTTGTCTGGTGCGTTACACGCAGTTGCGCTGAGGCATGTGCACAGGCGGGCCGAATATGCGCTAGGCGCGCGCGGCCATAATTTTTTTTAATTTTTTTTCTGCGTTTCCTTGTCTTTTTTTTCTTCTTTAACATTCGCAGATTGCATAGGCGTCAGACCACCACATCGTCACCAGTGCCACCGACATCTTCACCTGCGCCCACACGATCCACAAACAGCCCAGGTGTCAACCCCTTATATAGGGAGTCCCTCTCCAACCCGTCCCCATTGCCCACTCCCTCGTTCCAAACCCCCTAACTGACCCTTCCCCCCCCTCTCAACCCATTCAGCCCCACACGCCCTCCCAACATCCCCCCTCCCTCCACAAACCCCACAGGCTCCTCCCCTTTCCCACTGGTAGCCCAAGCAACAATAAAGAGAAAGGGAACACCCC